AATAAATTATTCCCTGAAAATATTGCCCTTGGTCACCATCCACTTTCACTGTATAAACAAAAGCAGCATGAACATTCTTCAAAGCATTTCCTTGGCAGAACGGAAGTCAACATGAGGTTGAGTAAACAATGGATTTCTAAAAATGTAACAACTATAATCAAACACTGTAGCTGGAAAGCTTAATAGAAAGCATCTTTATTTTGACTTTTATCTACAAAGGGACTCCCTTTTCACAATTTCTGTGGATGACTCACCTGGGAGAATGTTCTAAGACTGTATAAGATTATATACTTGGTTAGCCTGCAGATTCTTTCTCCGCAGGCTAACCAAGTATCAGTAGAGACAACCCTAAATTACTTTAGAGGGAAAGAGCTTGACAGGAAGGTATATGCATTAACAGTCATGTGCTCATAACGTCATAAATGCGTGTCACAGTCTCTGATCATAATGGAGTTGATATATTCGGTTCAAACATAAGCTTTCATGATCAAAATATTGTGCGGATGCAATACAGAGAAATTAGGCATAAACCAATGTGATTTATCTTCTAAACAGTTCTCCTATAAATCTTCAACGATTTAGCTGTTGAGAACAGCACAGCTGGTTCTGCATTACCAAAATGGATGCCTTTGACTCTAAAATTTGATCTAGAAGCTCATTTATTCCGTACATGTACCTATTTATTGAACATTGGTGTCTTTTCTCATATTGACGTTGCTGCTTTATAAAAGCAATAAAGCTACGATTCACTGTTACACATAGCCAACAATAACACATTAAAGAAAAAGTCATTGTTTAATAGGAACACTATTCCAACTTAACAAATTTTCATAATACGTTGCTAAAATGACATTGCAACTTTTTATGCAAGCTATATTCCCTCAGACCAGCGTTTCAATCTTTAGGAAAACTGATAAGAGTTCACATCTGCAGCCTTTATAGAAGTTCTTTCTTCTTATAGAAGAAAGAATAATCCTGAGAGAATGCAAGATTAATTAGCTTCCTCATTAATCAATGTGGAGGAGAGCCAACTATTTCCTGTCAAATGCAATACTCGGACTATACCAAACTAAGATCTGTTTGCATCTTACTGAGAAGTCCAGCAGGGATTTCCAGGTGGGTCGATGATGGGTAAAACTGGTGAAGTTAAGAGTTAAAAAGTCTGGTGGCAACAGCAGCATCTCAGTCAAAATATATGCCGGTCCTTTCAATATGACTGTTCCATTTCCTGACATGTTTTTATGTGTGTGGAAAGATGTAATCAGGGTCGAGTACCACTTGACGAAAAACAGATGCAAAATCTCTCTTAAAGTGTTAAATGATGTTAGTGGGTTGTGACATGATTTAACAGACAGCTGCCTGTTTCACTTCATCTCTTGCCTCTTATTTCAAATCATCAAATACATTTAATGCAGTTGCACATAATAAGGGATGTCAAACATACCAGCATTTCCGAATCAAGTTGATGCCAAAATAAAAATAAAAAATTTAATGATGCCAGTCTCTCTATATCAGCAAAGTACTCACTCAGTAAGTGCTTGCTGAGTGAGTACTTTGCTGATATAGAGAGACTGGCATCATTAAATTTTTTTTTTTTATTTTGGCATCAACTTGATTCGGAAATGCTGGTATGTTTGACATCCCTTATTATGTGCAACTGCATTAAATGTATTTGATGATTTGAAATAAGAGGCAAGAGATGAAGTGAAACAGGCAGCTGTCTGTTAAATCATGTCACAACCCACTAACATCATTTAACACTTTAAGAGAGATTTTGCATCTGTTTTTCGTCAAGTGGTACTCGACCCTGATTACATCTTTCCACACACATAAAAACATGTCAGGAAATGGAACAGTCATATTGAAAGGACCAGCATATATTTTGATTGAGATGCTACTGTTGCCACCAGACTTTTTAACTCTTAACTTCACCAGTTTTACCCATCATCGACCCACCTGGAAATCCCTGCTGGACTTCTCAGTAAGATGCAAACAGATCTTAGTTTGGTATAGTCCGAGTATTGCATTTGACAGGAAATAGTTGGCTCTCCTCCACATTGATTAACGAGGAAGCTAATTAATCTTGCATTCTCTCAGGATTATTGGTAAAAAGCACTTCTATAAAACTTGCCTTTGGCTGCAGATGTGAACTCTTTATCAGTTTTCCTAAAGATTGAAACACTGGTCTGAGGGAATATAGCTTGCATAAAAAGTTGCAATGTCATTTTAGCAACGTATTATGAAAATTTGTTAAGTTGGAATAGTGTTCCTATTAAACAATGACTTTTTCTTTAATGTGTTATTGTTGGCTATGTGTAACAGTGAATCGTAGCTTTATTGCTTTTATAAAGCAGCAACGTCAATATGAGAAAAGACACCAATGTTCAATAAATAGGTACATGTACGGAATAAATGAGCTTCTAGATCAAATTTTAGAGTCAAAGGCATCCATTTTGGTAATGCAGAACCAGCTGTGCTGTTCTCAACAGCTAAATCGTTGAAGATTTATAGGAGAACTGTTTAGAAGATAAATCACATTGGTTTATGCCTAATTTCTCTGTATTGCATCCGCACAATATTTTGATCATGAAAGCTTATGTTTGAACCGAATATATCAACTCCATTATGATCAGAGACTGTGACACGCATTTATGACGTTATGAGCACATGACTGTTAATGCATATACCTTCCTGTCAAGCTCTTTCCCTCTAAAGTAATTTAGGGTTGTCTCTACTGATACTTGGTTAGCCTGCGGAGAAAGAATCTTCAGGCTAACCAAGTATATAATCTTATACAGTCTTAGAACATTCTCCCAGGTGAGTCATCCACAGAAATTGTGAAAAGGGAGTCCCTTTGTAGATAAAAGTCAAAATAAAGATGCTTTCTATTAAGCTTTCCAGCTACAGTGTTTGATTATAGTTGTTACATTTTTAGAAATCCATTGTTTACTCAACCTCATGTTGACTTCCGTTCTGCCAAGGAAATGCTTTGAAGAATGTTCATGCTGCTTTTGTTTATACAGTGAAAGTGGATGGTGACCAAGGGCAATATTTTCAGGGAATAATTTATTCTGTTTCTCACACAAAGTTATCGATTGGCTTCAGAAGATTTATCATATTACCGGTAATAGTAGTGTACAAGTCATATAGACTACTTTTGTGCTGCTTTTTTCCCTTCTGGAGCTTGACAGTCTTTGGTCACTATACACTTTCATTGTAAGAAAGAGAGCTTCCTGATAAAGATGCTTTCTATTAAGCTTTCCAGCTACAGTGTTTGATTATAGTTGTTACATTTTTAGAAATCCATTGTTTACTCAACCTCATGTTGACTTCCGTTCTGCCAAGGAAATGCTTTGAAGAATGTTCATGCTGCTTTTGTTTATACAGTGAAAGTGGATGGTGACCAAGGGCAATATTTTCAGGGAATAATTTATTCTGTTTCTCACACAAAGATATCGATTGGCTTCAGAAGACTTATCATATTAATAGTAGTGTACAAGTCATATAGACTACTTTTGTGCTGCTTTTTTCCCTTCTGGAGCTTGACAGTCTTTGGTCACTATACACTTTCATTGTAAGAAAGAGAGCTTCCTGAACATACTACACAAGTTGTCCTTTTGTATTATGTTAATAGAAAGAAAGTCACACAGGTTTTATATGACATAAGGGTGAGTAAATTATAGCAGAATATTAATGTTTGGCTGAAGTAACCCTTTAAATCTTTAAGTAAAGTTGATATGAAGTGCAACTTTGTCGAAAATGAAGTACAGTAAATTATAGCAGAATATTAATGTTTGGCTGAAGTAACCCTTTCAATCTTTAAGTAAAGTTGATATGAAGTGCAACTTTGTCGAAAATGAAGTAAAACCGGCACCCTGTAATGATGATGTTACCCTTCTATAAAAAGGGCAGAGAAGGAATTGACTTAACAATCTATGAATAGCATCAGTCATCTTTTGGCTACCAAGGCTTTGTGTAAAAGCTGCTGAAACTTTGGAATGGCTTTTGCGGTTTGGCCCATTAACTTGGATTAGAGGATTTAGAGGAAATGGCTGGTAAATTTTGATGTCCTGAGGGAAGCGTGCAGTACAATGCCGACCCAAAATGATGATCTGTAGGTGTGTGTAACCCCTGTTAGATGGAGAGTACTTTATGGTTTCTTGCAGGTTTATGAGAAGCTATTTAAATTCATAGAATGTCTACTTGGATCCTTTGATGTATGAATCCAATTAGTTAAATGAATGCAGAGCCCATGACATGCTCTGTGTGGGGTCAAATGTCAACAGGCATTTAATCAAAACATTATTCAAAGTGACTCATTATGATGTCAAGACCACACTGTTAATGTGTTAGAACAACTTTTTAAGTCTTTTTAGGGAACAATTATTGCTTTGTTAATCAAAAATAAATTGCAGGGAAATTATGACTGAACTATAAGTGTGGAACATGTTTTAATATAAGGCTGCTTGATTTGGGGGGGTGAATCCAAGTGTGATTTTTTTCTGATTAAAAATTTAAATTTTTATTATTATAGTAATAATATTAATATATAATATATAATAAACTAAAAATATTAAACAATAATATATTACTATTGTAATATTTCACTGTAGAAAAAAATTAGTAATCATAATTTTATTTTATAGTACAGATGTAAAATTACAAGTTATATTTGAGGCTGTCATCAAGCTTTTGTTTTAATGGGTAGTGCAGTATAATAATTTTTTACATTATTAGTAGTGTTTAAAAGGATTTGAAGAAACTCCAGTAAACCACATAACAACACCCAAACTACCACCAAATACACCTTAGCAACCACATACTTTAGCAACGCCCTGGCAACCAACCACAACACCCTAAAATTGTGAATTTTGCATGTGTAAGCAGCACTTACTGTATGTTTCCATCAGAAAATCTAATTATCTGCAATCTTATCTAACATTCCATTATTATAATACACGCTATGAGAATCTCATTATTTGATCTTTTTTTTTCTTTAGGTTGTGAACTATCTGTTGAAAAAGTTGGAGCTGAATTACCACAGAAACAACACAAGTGAGAGCTACAGTTGTGGAACACGCCGGAAGCTGTCGACAGCCTTGGCCCTGATCGGAAACCCTCAGATCCTTCTCCTGGTGAGTAAAAAATGCACATTATGCTAAGCTGAGACTAGTTACTGTTGAGTAAGTCATAGAGCTACACTATAAATCACTGTATTGCATGTTGTCTTGAGTGTTTGCTTAGAGGAGTTTGAATGGGTAAAATGTTGCAACCTTATTACAAACACCTCTTGAAATGCGTCGGTGTGCTGTTTGGCCAAAGTCTCACAGCACATCAGTTATTCTGACTTCAAATTTTGGCTCGGTGCATTGCACGATTGCATTTACCTGGAGAGTGTGTGGGTTTTGCATTAGGTTTTTCTTTTGTTCTGTAAGCGCAGAGAAACATCCCACATGTTTCTTACTGTACATGTCTCCTCTAACCTCTCAGGATGAACCCAGCTCTGGAATGGACCCACGTTCCAAACGTCACCTTTGGAAGATCATCTCTGAGCAAGTGATGGGCAAATGTGCTGTGGTCCTGACATCACACAGGTATGATCACTTCCTCCAAACAAATAGGTGGTGGTAATGACACATTTAGCCAAAATCGAGTCTCTTAGACCAGGGGTTTTCAAGCTTTTTGGTGCTAAAGACATTCAAATATGATGATCCCCTTTTAAATATGAGGGACATCTTTTGTAAATTATAAAGGTAGCTACATATTTTCATGTATATAGACCTATTTGTGCTGAGAAAAATATGAAGCATGATGATCTTATAAAGACAATAACTGGCCTTTACATTGTCATTGTCATTGTACTAAGCAACCATCTATTAGATGTATGAATTGAAGAAAAATATAAAAAATTATATGCAAATGCATTTGTATTTCACAAAAATATATGAAGATTTATGCTAAGGCTGTCATTAGAGTAAAATCAATGCAGTCTCAGAACATTCTTTAGAAAATTAAACGAAAAATAAAACCTAAATATATGTTTTTTTTTAAATTATTGAAATAAATAATGTGTGTGTGTGTG